AAGAAGAATTTGACTTTCTAAAGGATATGTCACATTGTTATAAATAGCGGTAAATAGCCCTGTAATAGCGGTGCTAATAGCGTTAGCGGTCCCTTCCCGCGACGATATCGCCCGCTACGCTATCGCGCAATAGTGGTGACATATTGCGGAATATGTCTGTTCGCAAAAACAGCCAATAGTGTGTCATAACGGTAAATAGTGAGCAATTACATTCGAAATTTGCTTTTTGACTGCTATTTAAAAGCGGTTTGAGGCTTATTTTTTAAAAATTAAAATTTGCTTTTTGACTGCTATTTAAAAGCGGTTTGAGGCTTATTTTTTAAAAATTAAACTCAACCATTGATCATTGCATTCCACCGTCTCTTGTGATTTTCAGCATACTCCCGCCGCCTCTCATAACCTCTGGCACCTACCTTGATACTTCCTCTCACCTCCTTCATTATGAGCTCATCTTAAGGCAGTCCTGTCACCGCTAAGCTCTTCTTCTCAAAAACGACTTTTTGACTCCTCCAGTCATCTTCGGTATTACGTGATGGTTACATGTCTATTTCATATTTAGGATCTCTTTAAATCATCCAATATGTACTTTTAGATTTCTTTTTCCTATAATTTTTTTTAGTATTTATACATATCTAAATTAGACAGCTATTTGACTTTGCGCTTTTTACCACTATTTTGCCGCAATAGCCCGAAATAGCCTTAGCGATGCCTCACCGCTACGCGACGCTATCCGCTATCGATAACCTTGATGTCAGAGAATCAAACAAAATTCACCCACTTAGATATTATATATGATATCAACATAGCATAAGGACAAATAACTGCCTAAAGTAGCACATTAAACGAAATGAACTGGAGCTTCTAAACTAGGAATTCAACAATTAGACAAATATAGGATGGATCTTTTTTCTGAAGTAGAAAAATATATGCATTCAGAGTGGTAAGGGTTGAGCTCATATCCTACAAATAGAATTCCTCCTCTCCACACACACACACACACACAGAGAGAGCAACTAAAGTCACTAGCCGATAAAGCAGGCCTTGCAAGCACAAGGGCACAAAAGTCACTGGCCGATAAAGCAGGCCTTGCAAGTAACGACTGCCCCTTGTAACTAAAGTCTAGCCGATAAAGTAGGCCTGGAAATCAACAACTGGGAGGAGGAACCATACCATCCCAAAATGATTTTTTTCCCTTTTTTTTCTTGGGACTTGCTAGCACCACAAGTACATATTTTGATTGGTAGTCTTTAAGCTCTACTTATAGCAGTATGTACATCTCATGCAGGAGAAATATGATATATGGCAGACTTAATATTATAAGCTGAATAACCAACAGTTAATGTGGTGTTGAAGTAATGAATGTTCAAGTTCATCCACAAAACCCCTCATCTTTAGCAAAAGGTTCATGAATTTATCTCCTTGTTTTTAGCATGGTAACGCCCATACCTTTCTCTTAATTACCAAAACATGCTGAGAGGAGACCATTTCGCAATCTAATAGACCTCCTCACATGCGATGGAACTACAGGTTTTGTAGTTTTTTTGGAGGTGAACGACATTGCATTCATGTTGTCAGGTTAATAAATGTGAAAGTTCGCTTTTGAACATAAGCTATCTTCAACCATATTATTAATTTATTATTACTGAATGATTTAACAGTATGCATATCTAATCTTAGTTTCTGTAAGCAATTCCTCTTTTGATTAAAAGTGTGTTCTAGATCTTTATCAACTTAAATTTGCTAATCATGAATACCTTTTGCATTTTATTTTTCAGCTTCCCCAACAAAAAAGCAGGGGAATAAAAACACTCTAGATCAAGAAACATGAATTGCTGTCTATAAAGGTAATAACAATCCTATTGTGAGCTTGACCAAGCCCAACCGGGAAGACTAGTTGACATTGAAGCATGGAAGTTCTCCTTTTTTTTGCAAAGGATCCATGCTTGATTTTCTTTAGCTTAACTGTAAAAAAATAAAATGATAACACAAGTAGAATTCACAACAATGTAAAACAGCTCGATTAATTATTTGACAAGTAGAAACTTATGACAGTACTTCGTCTAACCTTTCCAGCCCTTGAGAAAAACTCATATACGTCTCTTTCATCAGCCTTTAAATTGATCTGAGAAAAGCAGAAGGCAAATAATTATTCAACATGTCAGCTGGAACATCCACCCAAGTATACCCAAAATTAGATCAACAATAAATGTATAATCGGAACTAGAAACCAACCTGATAAGCAAATACTGTGCGCTGGTCCCTCTCAGGATCAGCCTCAGGCTCAGCAACCTCCTCTTTCTTGTCTTTATAACGCCTAAATTTAATGGAAGAAGCTCATAATCAATAATTAAAACAAGTAATATAGTTCCTCACTAATAATATATCAAACAGAACTACTTTGATCTACAAGAAGAGATGAGATCATGTCAGACCAATTTAAAGGTAAAAAATCTGGTTAACACCAAGTTTGTCAGATTACATAGATACAAAGAGCAACAGTTAATTAAAAAAATCTACACATCGAAGTAACCTTTTCTCTGACATGCGTATACTTCCATGTAACACAATCTGATGGAAGAAATTGCAAATTGTTAATTTAGCAGAGAGAAACCAGTGCAAACTTTAGCAAAAGTTTCTCTGCAGCACCAACAGGTGAAGAGACCAAAAATATAAAACAGTTATGAAAGAATATGCCGATACTGCTTGAATATATGAAACTGATGATGTGACAACCAGAGGGGAATAGTTAAAAACAAAATTTAAGAGTACCAAAGCATAAGAACACATGACTACATTACCTCATCATTTTGTTTAAAAATATTAATAAAAACAGACTCCACTACACTTTACATGTATGACTTAATATGATGCCTTAATAAAAGATTTATGATAAAAATCACATTTCGCAAGCATGATATTCAGGTTTTATTCACTTCACAACTAACATCCATGCCAACAAATTGATTTATAACTAGACATCAATCTCCACAAATCATTAAGGATAGACCCGTTATAGTAGGTTTCTTTAAAATGGACCAAGAAAATTAAAGAACTGGTATTGGGAATGAGAGAAACATAAGACCTTGGTAGGTATTGCATAATCTGTAAAACAAAAAGGAGAGCAACACACCAACTAAGTGTGTTTGTCTTTTTTTGGGGGTGTGGGGGTGGGGGGAGGGGGAAGTGGGTTGCGAGGAGGCTGTTGCCTAGTCAATTGAACAGACTTTTCCCATAAGCATTGGTGAAATGCATCTTTTTATCTCCTCGCCAGCTTTTCTGCAGCATAATAAATAGAATTTCAGCCATCATGTACATAGATGGAGCGGAACCATACTCATCATATGACATCACTACTCACTGATGTTCTTCACAACCACTGACTCTACCATCGCACAACCAACATAGCTTTAGGTTAGAGTTCAGAAATTCTACTAAGAAGGATTCTGAGACGAGTTCAGTCGCCAGTATGACCATCCTGCAATTGTCCAGAATCTAATTTTCAATATTCAAAATTTTGCAGTTACATGCAGAGAAGTAAGCTAAGAATGGTAAGATGAAGAAGACAAACCAACTATGTTAAAGATACAGATAGCCTGATTAAACATGCATATCTGAATGGAGAAAGAGAGAAGTGACTAGCAAGAGTATCTTCAATGAAGTACAAGGGGAAGAAGGAAAAAGGACTGGACAAAGTGGCATGCAGCCAACCAGCACGGTCAACTAGAGAACACTCAAGTGAAAAATAAGAGCAGCTTTGTGGACATTCCTGGCAACAAAGTTGAAAGGTGCTACTATATACAACGAGGTAATAAACTGGCATCACTGTCATATGTTATATCACATGCCTGTGTGGATTCACTTGTGAAGTGCATCTAAAATAATTAATAGTACATGAACTAGCTTTCTGCTCCTGAGAACTCTGCAAACTCCTGTCTACTTATGAAATAACACACCAGACAGGCACATCTATTTACCTACATTAACCAGATTACAAAATAGATAAGATTAGCAGGTTTCACCTCCTTGTAAAAGTTTTTGTATAGTAATACTTTCTGGAAACAAATTAGGCTGTATGAAAAAAGAAACTTTTTCAATGGAAACAAAGCCCAATTTCCAACTTTAATATTGAGGACTACTAATGAATATGTAGAACAACATCGATTGAGGTAAATGGATAAGAGACTATCCTTTGCGAAGACATTATTATACAATTCATAGGTTATTCCCTTTTTGTGACAAAAAACTTCAGATATCAAAACATCACTATACAAAAAACACAGTCTGCACTGATTTGCAAGAAAAACCTGTTGAACACTCATTCTATCCACGAATCTAAGAGAACCACTATACACATAATCCTATGGCTATCATTCCAGCTAGAAAAGTAGTATATTCAACATATCCAGCTAGAAAAGTAGTATATTCAACATATCCTATCTACAGAGAACCAAATATCTTCTAATCTCTTGGAAAATACGTGCATCTTTTTATCTTCAATATTTCATTGATTTGGATCTACATTTCAGCTCTGTTAAATATCATTTATACTCTCATGTTGCTTGGCAATTGCAATTAATCCTACAGGATAAACTTTTGCATTTAAAAATATGTTAAAAGCTTGGCACTTGCACTTCTAAAGATGATGTCTAACACCTCTTGTTGCCATAAATTATGCATCTTGTTAATCACGCTCCAGTAAACTTGTTTGTGCCATATACGCAAGGAAATAATTATAGCTTTAATCAACGAGAACCATAAATAACATAAAAACATCAAAACTTAACAGAACATCTCCTTGACAATCAAGTAACATTTGGCTTCTTAGAATCAAATATAAAAACATATCAATAAGCAAAGAAAGTCGTAGGGTACTCAAAACCACAACAGAGTACTGATATGCATTTTTGAAACTCTCACGACACGCTCTATAATTTTAAAAAAGGGATTTCTCACCAATACTATCTCGCATTCAATTTATCCAACAAAGGACCCACAAACAGTACTGAACTTTTTTCAAGGAAAGAATAAGTTTGAACATATTCTGGGGCATTTAGGTGTACCTCTGGTTGTTCATTGGATTCGTTATTCACAAGTTTGAACTAAATCAGATCTAAAATACTAAATTATTATGTGTATTCAAAAATTGTCTTTCTTTCAAATTCAGACAGCAAAAACCTTAATGCTACAGAAAACAGTTCACCTTTCCTATTAGAAATTATGGAAGGATAAGACGGCAATAGAATGCAGGCAGTTCCGTACCTAACAAAACATGGCAGGTAGGCATATCAGTTTATTATGGAGGGAATGGCATGAGATACAACAAAATATGTCCCTAGTGCATTTCTATAAATCATTTAAGCCACAAGTTTTCTTGGACATTAGGAACTAGGTTTTTCACCCTTTTTTCATGAAACAAAAGCATACCAAAAACTCAACCCTAGGATTTCATATGACGCAACCCCACCTATTATCTACTAGTAAGCATGTCTATATAGCCACTGAGCATTACAAGTGGAGTTCAGATATACACAACCCTAATAGACATGCTTGTAGCTAAAGTATAAAGTTCAAAAACCAAAACAGATAGCAGAAAACGAATGAAAGTATATTCATGGCGCTGACAAGTTTTTATAACAGACATGTCAACATTTTAGGATCATTTTTGAATCATATCTAAAACGTTCTAGTAAGAGCTGACACTGGTTGCACGAATGCAAACATGACATGTGTTATTCATTTCTAAACTATCTCCCCTTAAAAAAGGCTATTATACATGCCTTTCTAGCTCGCATGTTCCCTGCTGTTATCCAAACATAAGTCCTTTATTGTCGAGGGGATATATCTTGGAAATAATTACATATGGGTTTTTTAATTTCTATGGGACAGTGGTCATAGTGGATGTTCATTTAGAGTAGGTAATTTGTCTAATCATTATATTATCACAACACACAGTCTGGTGTGTCACACAGGTAACATGTAGCTATCGATTTAAAAAACACAATGCCAAGTCCACTGAAGTGAAAAAAAAAAAAACAACAGATCACGTTACTAATGATCAAAAAGTGCATTGCTCAAACATTTATTTGAAAAAGTGAAAAAAGGACTAACAGCTTAAGTAATGCAGAAAACATATTGCCATCACGCATGATTGAAAACTAGAGACACCTATTTTGTGTATAAAACAAACAATTATTAAAAGAATTGCGACTTTAAAACAATCATTCAAGACATAGAATTTACCTTCCGTCATGGGTCCGATGTCCTCTTTCCCTCTCCTCTCTCTTCTATGAGCTTCCTTTTCCCTGCTCCTCTCCTCCTTCTCCCGGTCCCTCGGTCCCGAATCCTCTCCGAACGGCTCCGGCTCCTCCGAGACCTTGATCTCTCCCTTTCCTTTTCAATCTCTCTCTCCCTCTCCCTTCTCTTCTCTCTCTCCCTCTCCCTCTCCCTTTCTCTATCCCTTTCTCTGTCTCTGTCTCTATCCCTGTCCTTCCCATTCCTCTCCTCTCTACCTCTATCTTTATCTCTCCTATGCCGATCCTCCCTCGATCGAGACCGATGCCGAGACGAGCTCCTCTCACGATCGTCTCTAGATTTCTCGGATCGGTGGCGGTCGGATTCGCGCTCAGACTCTTCGTCTTTGTGCCTCGACCTCCGAGTCCGTTCCTTCTCCGGTTTAACGCCGTTCCCGTTCGCAGAGTCTTTCTCCTTCGACGGGAGATCTGGATTCTCCACCGTCTTCTCCAGGTACTCGTACTCGTCGAAATCCATCGGATTGGAGACCACAGAATGCGAAGAGAGTTAGGGTTTGCTTGATGCAAAAGCCCTAGAAATTTGGGGACGGGGATAAAACCCTAGAAAGAGAGGGAAGTGAGTAGGGTCGGCCGTCTGGATAAAACATAAGAAAGTGGTAGTAGGACGGAGAAGGGCTTTCGCATCGCGGTCTGTAGGACGGACTTCGGGTCACCCGTTAACCCAATAGTATATTTCACATTTAGTTCTTGGTGGATCGGATCTGATTGAGCCCCGTATTCTACGAGTCCGTGGACCCGGAGGGAAAGTGCATGGTTAACCAAATCTATATTCTATATCTAAAATCTATATTCTATATCTAAAATCTCTTCCCCTTGAAAACGTCACATGGCATCTCTTCCCCTTGAAAAAACCACGTGGTAAGCCTCTTTTGCCACGTGTCAATCTCTAAAGAATTCATACTTTCGGTTCTCAACATTATTCATTATTTTGAAAATAACAATATTTTGTATCTTCAACAACCTTCCATCTTCTGCTTCAATTTCCTATGACTTGCATTCATTTTGGCTTAATATTTTGTATCTTCAACAACCTTCCATCTTCTGCTTCAATTTCCTATGACTTGCATTCATTTTGGCTTCTCAAGTTTAAATTTCTCATTTAATATCTTCCCTCCTCATCCCAAATTCAAATCTTTGATCTTTTATTACTTTCTGTATCTTTCCCCTCCTTCCACCTTATTATTATTAATATAGACTTTTCCTCTCTTCTCTCCTCCTTTATTTGGGATTCGGATTGGAATTTATTGAAGATGATGAAGAAGGTGGGCAGGGTTTTGATGATGGATTCAGAGGAAGCGATGGCTCAGTTCAAGCATCAGGCCCTTTTGCATGATTATGATGAACTGCTCATTGTAATAAAAAAAATCTTTTCTTTTTTATTCAGATCTGCTCTTTTTCTTTTAAAATCTATGTATGTACATATGATCAGTTGTTATAGGGTTAGGAATTTATTTGCTTGATGGGTTATCTTTGTTTTTTGATTCAGAGATATGGGGTTTGTTGTTATGTGCAATTTTGACTTCTCCAAGGTAGGCATCAATTTGGGTAGTCTCCTTTGGTTCTAAAATTGAAGGATCTTTTCAACCTTTTTAGCGGTGTTCTTATATGTGTGTTTTGCATTTATCCTTCGTGATACGTATCTGAGTTGATTCTTTTTAGGTCCAACTCTTTTTGATCTTTTCTCAATATTTTTGGGTCAGTTTTTTTTCCCGTTGTTGTACCAAGTATATCTATTTTTTATT